GAATTTAAAAAGACCAGTATTATTTTTTTAATCTGTAATTTCTTAAAAACTTTTTATGCATTAAAATCAGTGAATCATACCTAAAAAAAAAAAAAAAAGGAAAAAACAATTCATTCCTAATCCATTGCAGAAAAACAAAACAAGTAACTACTAAAAACTTACTCTTCAACATATTAGTTCAATCTCTCATTTCACCTCTCTCCTATGTAACGCTGCTATACTACAGTGATTTTAACCGCCTACTGATGAAACAATTTTTAATACTAATGTTTTTCAAGTTGTTCTTCTAGACTGTGCAAGATAGAGCTCCTGATACTGATAAACTGATCTAGAATACTTCATACTGAGAGAAGTACTTTTAAATATAATCCTTTGTTTCTGAGCACCAAGTATTTACCTCAATATCAAATCCAACATTTTTGTTGCCTTCTTGATGCACTGCATAAAGTTTGGAGATGACTTCATTAGCCTTTACTCCAGAGTTTTCTGCCAATGCTCGAGGAATGGCTTCAAATGCCTCAGCAAACTTCTTGATGGCATATTGGTCGAGCCCAGGACATGTCTAAAGTGAAGATGAAAACCATTTAGCTTTTTAAAACAAACACAGAGAAGACCAGGCAGGTAGGGAGATGTGTGCATGTTTGCTCTTTTTATATCTATCTAAGAATATATTAATACCTATGTATATCACTTAATATATTTCATATATACATAAATAAAAAAAGAGGTACCTCTCCATAAGATGTGATCTGTTTGGCTAACTCGATCTCTGTTGCACCACCTCCAGGAACAAGACGCTTATCCTGTGAACAGAATGTCCCATGTATTCCTTAAAGCAGCACACTATTTTTTTTTTTTACTTTTTAGAACTTAAATACTCTAGCAAGAATAAAACTTTACCCCATGCAGACTTGTTAAGCACCACTTCAGAAGAAAGAAGCATTAAGTGTACTGTCACCAGAATTTACTCTTTCATTCCAAATGTCTTTGAAGAAAAATAGCTTCTTTCATAAAAAGAAAACAGAAATGCTTTTTTTTTTTTTTAAGTTATTTTAACACACAGCTTACTAGGAATAAAATTTCTAGACTTTCTCGTGTTTTCTTTTAACTGTTAAAGAGTCAGGAAACAAAATGCAGGAGAACAATCTACTCTGCACTGTTTTAAGTTTAATATGTCAACAGGTATCATAAATTTATTTTTAAAAAAATCTAAGTACTTCATGTATCTTTTGAAAGCAAGCACTCATTCAAAAACTTCCAGACTTTTTAAACAGAATTCATCATCGTCAATCAGGACAGCCACAAGAGCACAACCTACGTCTGCTTCTGTACTTTAAATCAATACTCATGTATTGGTATGTACCAGTGTCATACGCTAATTTTTATGTCAGCTAAGTACAAACCACCTTTTCCTTTCTACCAAAAAACAAAGGCTAAAAAAAGCTTAAGTACACAAAAGCTGATTAGAAAACACTGAAGAATTAAATTATTCCATTTATAAAACCTATCAATGGTATGCAGAGGAAGTATGTCTTGTCACCCATGAAATACAGTCTGCAACTACTCAGCTCCTCCTGATCCCCAACAAAACAAAAACAAACCACGCTCCTAGCTTTTCTTCTGTCTGGTTTCCAAGGAACATTACAGAGGGTTTGGGGAAGTGGTCAAAGACCTGACTGCCATTCGAAAACGGTGAAACAAACTTATCTTCAAAGACTCACCTCAAACTGAAAAACTAAGTTCAATACATGCTGAGCACAACCTTTTATGTACACTGTATTCACAGGGATGCCAACATCATACTACACAATCTTCCCTGTGCCTCAAAGAGCCTCCTAAACTGACAGTGTAAGTACCTGCTTACAGCCTTTGTGCCAAGTGATGAGCACAAAGCAAGCGGGAGACTTTCCTCAAACAAATGGATTCATAGCTTGGTTTTGGCAACTGAACTGTTCAGTTTACTTACCCTTGTGAGTACTTTGAAAGTATTTACACCATCATCCACTGCTCTCTCTATATCATCCATCAGATTGTCTGTAGATCCACGAATGAGTATGGTAGATATGGCACCATCCTCCTTTTCTGTCAAGTAGGACATGCTCGTTACTGAATTAAGTTTGTTACCCGTAAAACATTTATGAGTACCGTACTTGTAAAACGGTAGCATTAGGACGTTATTGAACATACATACCATGCTTAAACACAACAACTTGCGTATCCCCAACCTCTGATAAATATACGCTATCACAGTGACCCATTTCTTCTAGAGTAGGGGGAGTCTGAAAAGAAAAAAAAGAAAGACTCAAAAGAAGAACCTGCTTACAGCTCTCTCTATTCCTTTTCTCATTTGAAAACTCCATACCAGTCTGGGTAGGGCTGTTGCACCAACAGTTTTACATAGTCTCCTCAGATCCCATTTTGAGTTCAACCTTTAAAAACAAACAAACAAACAAAAAAACACAACACTAACAACAAGTTTCCAGAACAAATGTTAAAACATTCCAATTAGTACTCTCTCTGTAACTTCAAAACATTTTGTAAATTCATGATACCAAAATTTACGGCATCAAGTAACAGAATCCACCCCGGTATTTTTTCCGGTTATAAGAACACATTTTTCAGGAATTCTACAGAACTTTTTTTCTAGCTGTTTCAAGTAGTAGTTAAAATATACAGAAATAATGAAAAGCTCACCTTACACTACACTACACAACACTTGAATTTATCCTTACAACCACCTCTGTATTAGATTTCTAATCCTTCTCTGTTTTGCATGAAATCACAGTACCACGTTCCCTCAGCAGAGGTTCAAATTTTTCAGACGCCACCAATCACATACAGGTTCCAACAGAAAAGGACCACTTCTCTGCATAAGATGGAAGAGATGCCACAGAAATTTAACTCTGACGTTTTGCAGAATCTTACCTTTGTGGCCACATAGCCCCCCTCTCTCCTAAATTCACAAATCTAATATATTTGACTACAGCGTAGTTGGAAAGGCATTTAAACCATTTTAACAGTACTATCTACACAAGTTACTCTCCAACTAGTTATCATATAAAGACGAAGTGCTGTCGAGAAACATAAGCTATGAACACAAAGAAATTGCTGCTAAGATTTTGTTCCACTAGAAAATCAAAAGGTTACCAATACTTTGCATTCCAAGTAGATTGAGAGGCAACAATCAATACAGTAGGCACATTTCATAAACCTCACAGATAAAATGTTTTATGCTATTTTAGTACTTACCTGACTAACATAAGATTGTATTTGTTGGCATAATGAAGTGCCATGTCTGCCACTTTGCCACCTGTTACTATTACATTTGCACCGGTATCAGCAATAGCTTTGACTTGCAAGTCCATCAGATTTTCTTCTCCCTTACTGAAATTCATCAGTTCTTCAGCATTTTTTATAAGTACAGTGCCCTAGCAAAACAAATACACTATTATCAATTCAGTGTTAACTACGTACATACTTAAAAGATAACTTATATGACAAACCACAGTGTCAACCTATTCGTAACCTCAACTCATCTGTTTTATCAAATTGCCACCTTTGCCAGCCAAGGCAGTAGCAAAAGTGAAAGAAAGGCAGGCAGTTCTAGCACTCCTAAAGAAACCCTAAGCTTCACAAATTTTAGCATGTAATTTGATTCACACATAAACTATAAAGCAAAATTCAGTTCCGAGGATTTCTATGTTAAACTTTTTTACACTAATGAACTGATTAACGGAAATAATTCAACTGTAAATATTACTGACATAGGGTGATTAAGTCTAAAAATAAGAGATTTAGAGCTGCACAGGATCATAAATAGACACAAAACTTATTTGGGGCTTCTACATACCTTAGTTTCAGTTATCATACCATCAAAAGGGCAAGAATACACAGCTATCTTTGCGTCTTTAACAGAGGTAACATCTCCTTCCGTTTCTTTTTTAAAAACCATGCCATGCAGTACAGATGAAGCAGAGATGCCAGCCCCCTGAAAGAAGAGAGGCGGAATGCAGTAAAGTCACGTTACTGACCACTTACCATCAGAAAGCTGCACTGTCCTTAACAATTGCTCCATTCAAATGAATTTAAGGACTGCTTCTTAAGTTTTCGTTATAGCAGATGAGACTTGTGCTGATTCAACAACGTTAAACATTGTATTACAGGTTCACATCTTAAAACAAGCTCTCCGAGAGCAGCGATTACAGTATGTAATACACACTTTCTGTGCTCAACTTTTTACATATTTATTAGTAGGGAATAAAAACCGTCAGGGGAAATTCTTATTAGATGTATTTTTATTAGATGTAATTTTGGTCCAATTCTACAGGCCACATTAAGGCCTAACAGCCTATTGACAAAAACAGTGTAAGATTACCCCACTGCTGTTCTTCTAGCCGGCCCTTAGCCTGATCATGTGAATTCTTCTAAATCAAAGGTGCAATCAACATCCCAGCGTATAATTAACAGATCTGATTTAGTTTAAATCCTCAATGCTCATGATTTCTGTTCCTGAAACTAACTACTGGACCCTGAAGCATTCTAAAACAAGGATCGATTTCCAGAACTTAACTGTACATGCTACAACTGAACAGAGATTAGAATAGAAAAGAGCGTTTCAAAGTTCAAAGGTCTAAAAATCAACTCCCTTCACTAAACTTTTGAGTTTAACTCTACAGTAAAGCTAGCTATGCCCAACTTACCACAATTTTGCACACTCTGATATTGTCAACGTTGAAATGACCAGAATCAGGGAGAATAGAAACTGTTTGGAGGGGGGGGAGGAAAAAAAAAAAAAAAAAAGTTGTTTACTGAAGTAAAACTGTGACACCACAAATAACGCACAAAATTTTTTCAGAGTATTAGCATTCAAAGATTTGAACTACCTATTTAAATTTAAGGCAACTATAATCCATTAAAAGCTTCCATCAAGAGATGAGCAGAAATTTTGTTTTTACAATGTAACAATCAGAAAGCCACCTTTATTCAACCTAGCCAGTTAAATTAAGTCTGAACGCCCGTTTAAATAAGGGTTGACTCTGACCCAGAATATTTTGAGGAAACACTTAAAACAGACATGAAAGTTGTTTCTTGAGATATAAAAGGATAAATCCACTACTCGTTACAACTACACATTCTTGCTTTTGTTGTTCCGCGGCTGACACTAATGAATAGCTACTCTGAAGTGTAATGCATCTTACTAATGACAAAAAAGATGAAAAATCTGTTTCTACTTGAAAGATAAATCTAGCCGTAAGCTATTTCTATAAAAAGTTACTAGAAAACATAGACCTTATGTGAGCCACAACGAACATAAGAAAAAAGGTTACACTCATTTCAGAGACTAATGTAACGTGATAAACTAACCATACCTTTCATCTTATGTGAAGATATTAGTAATGAATAAAGTCCAAAATACACCATTTTCTAGATACATGCACACCATCAGTCTTGCCCACTTACCACAGGCCTGCGCAATAAGCTTTGCCAGAAAATTTTCATTGCCATACTGTTTACTCATCACTGAAGTATGCAACAAAGAAGCTACTTCTTCAACATCTCGAAGGTTCTTTGCAGAACAGCACACCAAGTCAGGAAGAATTTCTAGCGCTTTCTTGCAAGCTTTTTCATATCCTTCAATCACCTGCGCAGCAAGCAACAGAAGTTCACTACACCACATCACTCTACATTCATACTATGCACATCTCCTCCTCACCACATCACTCTACATTCATACTATGCACATCTCCTCCTCAAAGGGCTATAAAACATTTAAAACGTGAAAAAGCTTGTAAGCGATGCACTCACAAGCAGCCAAACATATACTATTATTCTTCATAGAGCTTTATCTAAAAATCAGCTTGGAAGGAAAAACAGTGTTATACTGATCAATAACTGCCTGTATTCAGGCTACATCAATCATAATAACAAAATGAACTTGCCTCCGAGACTGATAATCCCATTCTGAGAAGGTCCTCTGCTAACTCCAGGAGGACTCCAGCAAAAACAAGGACAAAGTTTGTACCATCTCCAACTTCTTGCTCTTGCATGTGGGAAGCCATCACAATCATTTTTGCAGCAGGATGCTGAACCTTTAAAAGAAGTTACGTGCGTGCCTTAAATTAACTGCTAACATCCCACTTGGACTACAGCTCTAGATTTTTCCATGCTTCAAGTACAAGCTCTTTGATTTCAAGTTATATCTAAACATACCAAGAATGCACAAAAAGAGAGCAGTACAGATTAACTGGGTAATTTCCGTAATAAACAAAAGTACTGCAGCTAAGAAAAATTCATAGACTTTAACAATTCCTCTACAACATAAATTACATACCCTTATTAATTGTTTTTGCTATTCTGACAAGACACAGTGGCCTCACAACCAAGTTTTGCAACAGGAAGCTGCCTGATGTTTTGACCTTCAAACTGAGCTCATGTATGCATGACTTTAGAGATCTACATTGTGTCTTAATTCTAATGCTTTGCCATCCGCACAGAGAACAAATTGTTTTCTCCTTCAGAGAAGTGTAATAAAAATACTTTGTTCTTCAACACCTTTAGAGCACCTATCATCTTATCCCAGAAAGTGGCATGCAACATTATTAGATTAACTCGCCTGCAGATATTTTTTATAAAAACTGGAAACTGCACTGAATACAAACACATTAAGGAAATGTACTTAACACCCCTTTGAAAACAGTTTCACATTTGCATTGCTTTCTTGCTATTATTCTAGAATGCTGTTTCTACCAACAGACACAGAATTTTGAGTAAAATATTTTTGTGCAGTGAGACAGGTATTATGATAGTAAGAGAAAAGTCAGGACAGGTCAGTTTCTCCATAGATCTTGTATCACTTAATTCACAAAAGGACGCTGCTACAGCTCCATGCCATACTACCATATACCATACTCCTCCTGTCAGCTTAGAACATGGTAGTTGAATATGGCAAGTACCAGTATAAGGCAATTAACAGCTACTTCATCCAGCGTTTTCAAAACCTTGTATTGTTTAGATATAGCCTTCTCTAAATCTAGGGTGGTTTGAGAGAATAAAGGAGGCACTTACTAAGCATCTGCAACTGCTTAGTGCTGCTTTACAGAAGAAGCCCGTTTCTCACCTGGAGATAGCCCAATTACTTTACACCCTCAAATCCAGTGAAAACTTAAATGATTTACAAAGTGACAGACATCATCAGGCAGGCTGACACAAATTTCCTTAACAACATTCAGAACTGTAGTGGCCCATGCTAAGAGAAACACTAGTTCAGCATGACCGAAATCTTCCAAAAAGAGAAAACTTACCTCCAGCTCTCTCAAGATAGTGGCAGCATCATTTGTAACAAAAAGCTTCTCCAGGTGGTTGATAACCATTTTGTTCATTCCTAAGAGAGAGGAAAACAAAAATCATTTGTAAGCTGTGTGTGGTTTTTACAGATACTGTTTCTTAAGCAGAAGATTTTAGGTATATTTTATGCATTAAAATGTTATAACTTTGTAGGAACACCTAAAAGATATTTAGGTTTGGGAGCGTTACATGAGGAAGAAATCATTTTCATGCCTGAATGAACAGTTCTCTCTTCAGAAATGCTCGTACGTTATGTAATTAAATAATATTGGGACTATCTTTTGTTTAGGTACGCTTGTCAGAACACGGTACGGTTATGTTCATTATAACTATCTACCTAGTTACTGTCTTTCCTTTAATTTTGTAGGTCTTCAGCAGAGCAGTAAGACAACAAAAAGGATACAGTAACTGTACAAAAACAGAGAAAAGTAAATATACTACAAAAAAAACTTAAGAGTTAACTAAACAAAATCTGTAATCTTTATATCCAAAAAAGCTGCATTTTGAACTCAGCAGTGAGTTCGATGTGTTTCTTCAGGAAACTAATAAACAGCTGCTTCTTCATCCAAGTAAGATTAGCCTTTGAACATTATCATTTTTCACCAAAACATTACAGTGACGTTTGGATTTATTTACCATTTGGTCCATAAGCTGTACGGGTGGTTTGAGCAAGTTCTTTGCATGCCTGGATGTTCCTGTAAACAGCTTCTTCAAGTCCTGAATAATGCTAAAAAGGAAAACGTTACCAGCTTGGAAAGGGGCAAAGTTTTGTGAACGTACTGTTTCATCATATGCTTTTTATTCACACCTCTGCATTCCACAGAGATAAAACTGTGCTCTGTATTCAAACATACATGCATGACTTGAAAAATCACAATGATTCAGAAAATATCTGTGATTGCTCAGCTTCCATTTGGAAGCCTTTTGAAAAGGAGGGATGCCTAGAAGACCTTCAGAAGACCTACAAAGCTCGGAACACTCTTCTCTGTGCCCTCCTTCAGAGGGGACAGAAAAGTATAGGCAGGTATTCTGCAAATGCAAAGCATCTCAGGGGGCCAAGTGCTTCCTTGTTTTGTGAAATACAGCTCCTGTTGTTCTGCCCTTGTACCTTACATCAAAGGACCAGCATTGGCGCTATTCTGCTTCCCTGCCCCCACCCCCACCCCTCTGAAATATGCTACTCCCTGTCTCCAGAAAAGATCTTGGAAAACAAATACAGGGCTTCCTGAGTTGCCTAATCTCCCCTTCCATGCGTTTAAACGTCTGCAGTCGTAAGTTTCTTTCCCCTCCTCCCGAAAAAATAAGTTTTGGGTGTTTTTTCTTTTTCTACCAGCTTTCTCAAACTAGGCTTCTGCTCTATCAGGCACGGTCCTTGATGACTGTCAAAATGTGTGTTTATTAAATTCGTTCAGTATTAAGTGTAACTATACAGAAAACACTTGGTTATTTCGCAGTACCTGCTTAGAGCTAAAGCAACAGAAAACAATCAAAGAATATATACGGTAAGCAGTCAGGCCACTTCGGAACTGCTCCAGCTATAGGGCCCGGCTGCACTGCACTGCCCACCGTCCGCAAACACTCTCCGTAACAAAACGCCCTCCCGCACTCATTCTCAAAACGAAGGCAGGCCGCG